TACTCCTGGTTCGTAACCCCTATATAGTCCCGGTTTTCCAACCGGGACTACGAATCCGGGACTAAAGATCGCTATATTTAGTCCCGGGTGAGATAACCGGGAGTAAAAATCGATTTTTAGTCCCGATTGGTGTTACCAACCGGGACTAAAGATACTTTTATCTTTAGTCCCGGTTAGTACTAAAGAGGCAGATCCGGTTGCTTTTTTATTATTTTCTTCTCTTCATTATTTTTAATATATTGATTTCACCCTAACCCTATCCCGTCCCCAAAATCCCAAAACAATCATCCTCAAATTTCCTTCAAATCCACAAATTGATCATCTCAAATACATCACAAAATCTTAAAAAAAATTACATCACAACTTCTACAAAATACATATTCATATCACACACAAATAAAATACATCTCACAACAATCTCAGCTCAGATTCTCAAAAAAAAAGAAAGAAAAAACTGCTAGGCGCCGCCTCGACGTGCCGGCCGGCCGGCCATCCGTGCCTTGCCGCCACAGGCTGCCGCCTCAAAGGCCGCCGCCGGCGGCCACCGCCTCGCCGCGCGCCGCGCTGCCCTCGCGCCGGCCGCCAGGCCCCAGCCGTAGGCTGCCGCCGGCGGCCACTGCCTCGCCGCGCGCCGCGCCGCCCTCGTGCCGGCCGCCAGGCCACCGCCGCAGGCCGCCGCCGGCGGCCACGCGCCGCCCTCCGTGCCCCGCCGCCCTCGCGCCGGCCTGGCATCTCCTCGCCCCACCGTTGTTGTGTAGAGAGGAGAAGGAGAGGAATAGATAAGGTTGAGGAGAGAGTTAAAAGGAGAGGAGGAGATAAGGTTGAGGAGAGGAGGAGATACCTCGATCCGATCGCGTAGGCCTCTCCGATCTCCGCGTCGATCTTTTTTCCCGGTTGGTGGTTACCAACCGGGACTACAAATAGATCTTTAGTCCCGGTTGTGTAACACCAACCGGGAGTAAAGTTTATGGCGATCTTTTTTTTCGGTTGGTGTTATCAACCGGGACTACAAATAGATCTTTAGTCCCGGTACTAAAGATTGAAAAGTACCCCTGGAGCTTTAAAACCGGGACTAAAGATATTTTTAGTCCCGATTTTTAATACAACCAGGACTATTATGAAATTTGGTCGACCGATCAAAGATGGTTTCTCCAGCAGTGTTCAGGTCCCCATCCTTACTTATTTGAAAGGATTATAAATGTCATGTATTTTCCCTACCAATCAAAGGGCTCTTAACTTAGCATTTCACATTAAAAATATTAACCTTTGCAATTTTAGTGGTTTAATTTAATCCTGCCTTGACAAACTACAAAATGTGTGGACGTACTAGCGCTGTACCGTTCGACGACAACAAGGCAACAGGCGGTGCCTAAACCTAATAACTGCTGGTACATGTTGCAAACTATTGGAGCACATGCTGCTGTTGCATGCAACGGCCCCGTTGGCCGTTACATATCCTTCACAAATAGATTTGGACCATTTTGATCTATGCATATACACACACATTTTTGTTGGCTTATGTTTAAATGCCCAGGGAAGAAGACATACGAGATTTTCTCCTCTCTGGACATTGTTATTCAATTATGATTTTGGTCCTAAGACATTATTATCCGGGGCGTGCGGGATACTCTTCAATTATGGGTGCACTGCTTCTCTTTTTGGCCGGTGTTCAGCTAATGGATGCCCGCTTTGTTCGGAATCAATTTACTGTTGTTAAGTATAGTCTCCTCCATTATTTATAGAGTGACCTTTAGAAACTTGATAACAATTCAACTCACGTGGGTGAAATCAATTTTCTTTTTTTTTTAGCTCTACTAAGAATGCACCATTTTTATAGGCCTGTATAGTCACACTTCGTGGTAATGCAGGATAATGCAAAATTTACTACTGACACTTCGGCTGAGTTCGCAAGGACATGTTCCCAACTCCTCCTCTTGTTTTCCGCGCGCACACTTTTTAAACTGTTAAACGGTGTATTTTTTTAAAAAAAGTTTCTATACGAAAGTTGCTTAAAAAATCATATTAATCCATTTTTTTAAAAAAATAGCAAATACTTAATTAATCACTTGCTAATCGCTGCTCCGTTTTTCGTGCTGGGGAGTGAGGGTTCCCAACCCTTACTTCCAAACGCAGCTTTAGTTTGTGGTATTTGCTAAAATAACATCGCACAGAAACATGACACGACTGGCGGGCACCCAAAAAATGGTAATAGCGGTGGGACAACGAAACCATTATTTTATTATATTTGGTTCAAATGAAGAGAGAAACAATGTGGAAAAGACAAATGTACCGATGGGGCCAAATGCTTGTAAGACGACTGGGTTTGGTTTCAACAAGAATTAGGCCAATCTTCATCCCTGATCCCCTCTCCAAACCCTATTTTTTAATCAGACCCAGTTAGGTTAGAAGCATATGGCCCTAGAGGCAAAATTGTTTTTTTTCTAAATGTTTCTCTTTTTATTTGGACCAAAAAATAATAATAGCCTCGGTGTCCCATAGCTATTACTACTCCTTCCATTTCAGGTTATAAGACGTTTTGACTTTGGTCAAAGTCAAACTGCTTTAAGTTTGACTAAGTCTGTAGAAAAAAAACATTTTCAACCCAAGATAAATTTATTATGAAAATATATTTAATTATTTATGTAATGAAACTTATTTGGTATTATAAATATTAATATATTTGTTTATAAACTTAGTCAAATTTAAAGTAGTTTAGCTTTGACCAAAGTCAAAACGTCTTATAACCTGAAACGGAGAGAGTAATTTTTTAGGGGTGTCTACCAATTGTTTCACGTTTTACGGTGTCTTTTAGCGAAGACTATAAACTTTAGATGTGCTGTAGTAAAATTTGTCTAATCAAAATGATCTCTTTCTATCGATCCTCCCTGTTTATCAACATAGTATAGTATTAAGTATGATTTCCCTATCACCACTCAAAGCAGTTAAACTCGATCCCTTCCATTGTTCCACTGGATGGATTCCACTTGGAGTTTGGAGAAAGAGTGACAAAGCGGCCACAAGGGAAGGGAAGGGGCCGGAGAACCGGACGAGTGTAGAGACCACATAATTGTACCGTGGACGTACAAGGCATAGTGCATGGGCGGACGGGCCCCACAGCCACAGGAGAGAGAGAGAGAGAGAGGACGAGGACGGACACTAGCGGCGGTTGGGTGGGGCATCACTTCAGTAGCAGCCTTGTGCGACGCAACCGCGCAATCTGCCTCACCGCCGGGCCATTTATTGTGCCCACATGGCCCCCGCCACGCTGGCTGCCACCTGGGCCCCACTTCACACTCCACTCCGCTTCTCCTCACTCTGCTCAGCTACCTCCGCGACGCACACGCATTTTACTCTCGTACGGCATCCACATTGTCGCTTTTTAGCCGGTAATAAGCAATACATGCTCTCTTCCTACCTAGTAGAAAGCATTGTGAGAGTAGCAAAGAGTTAAAACCTGGTCATACAGCTACTACTGATGAACAAGAGATAAACAATGTTTCTGACATAACTCGCGAGAAGGAGTCACGCAGCAGTCACGGGAATTTTACTATCGGTGATTTTTTTATTTAGCTGGGCCCACCTTATTCCTCTCCAACGCGTATAAACAATGTGAAGGGTGCGATGGTTTAATACCGTTTAATCCCTTGGCCCACAGCATTGCCGAAGTCGGCAACTAACATTGCGCTTGCCCGTATAGCTGCTGAGAGATTCATGGCACAAGACAGAGACTGGTGGTAGATGCAAACGTATTTTTCTTTTTTTTTTTCTGTTTGGTTCTCTGAATTTTTCGCAGGGCCGAGCAGTGCAGTGTGCATGTGCACGGCGATGGCGACGGCGACGGCGATCGGAGCGGCTCTTGCATTGCCCCCTTCCCCTCTAACTGCCGATTTGTTTTGGCTATGATCGATCTCTCTCAGGTTTCTGTCCTACCAACCTCCTCCTGATCAACAAGAGACAAGCTCGATCGGCCGATTTCAGATTACTTCAGTGAAAGCAAAACCCTGATACCACTCAACTCTCCTAAGTTTGTATTCTTCATATTGTACTCCTTACCTGGAGCAACCACGCACGATCTCTTCATCATATTTTAAGTCACGTTTTTTTCTTCCAGTGTGGCGTAATTGTGAGCACTAGTCCACACGTTGTGGCCTACTACTACTTTCTTTGGTCTAATCTTGTGAGAGAATTCTCTAGCTCCTCCCTAGTGGAAATGCGGAATCATTTCAGTTGCATCTTAAACCTTTAGTTAAGCAGCAGTACAAGGGTGCACCTAGTACCAGTCTCCTTAATCTAAGAGCTAATTAGCAGTATATTATGCCATGGGGAGATGCAAAGAAGGTACTGTCAGTGCCAGCAGCATTGGCTGCTTCTTTGACCCCCACTAATTAAGACATCAACTAGTAGCAGCAAAGGGTATCCTATACATGATGCCCTGTCCTTTAGCAGAGGACTTGGCTTTCCCTACAGACAGAGTCTCCATTGGAAGCCACACCTGTTTTCAATGCAGTGTTCAGATTCCAAATGTGCAGTTTAGGTTGTTAGTTTTGTGAAATGGACAAAAACTGATCACTTAATGAAAAAGGCTAAGCTTTGCTTTTATACTATATGACCATATGTCTATATGTCCATGCAATGCAAAGCTTTGGTCCTGTGACTTTTGAGACCACAGATTTGTCTCCTTCTGTTTACCTGGAATAATGGCGTGTTTCCTGGTGAATTTACAATGAGAGTAAATGGACAGACAAGCCCCACTTTCTTTGTCAAGACAAGCACTCATCTGTAGTGTTCTTGTTCAGAGAGTTTTCAGGCATGTAAAAGTCTACACATCTCTTGATATATTTTTAGTGTTTGTTAGGCCTCTTAACTGCTGCTCTTTTAAGAAAGAATAAAAATCCGTCCTTTTTCAATCCATATACTAATATTTGCCATCATCTAAAGATATATATATAATATTTGCAGAATGAAAAACATGGAGCTCGGGACAACAATGGGACCAAGACTTTGGAGTTAGGGAAAAAAATGAATTCCACATGAACCCTCTCAAATTATACAGATCCTCCATTTTTTTTAACCACACCCCCCTCTCCTCCTCCTCAGTCCACATACTACTATCTCTCTCTCTCTCTCTCTTTTCTGTGGTCAACAAGATGTTGCAGCTGCCAATGTACAGTGTGAAGCAAGCATGTCACAGACGGTTTCTCTCCTGATCTCATCAAAGATTAGGGTCTCTATCCTCGTGCCGATCTCCATGGCTGCCTCGAGCTTGAGCTCGCCCCATTGTTGTATCGACTGGGAGAAGTCCATCTCCACCATTCTCGGGATGTTGGAGATGTCCTCTGCGATCCTCTCCCACGAGGAGATCTGCTGCTCGATGGACTTGCCGGCTCTGGCCATCTCCTCCTCCTCCTCGTCGCCTTCTTCTTCGTCTTCTTCTACCTCCATTGGGATGATCTTGCCATGGATGTTGTAGGTGAAGCATGGTGAGGTGGCGCCGATGAAGCCCTCGGATGGTGGCGAGCTCCCTGAGGTCGAGGGCTTTGCATCCTCCCCTGTGATAATAGAAATGGAGTGTTAAGATGGGAAAGATGAATCTTAAGATGGAGTACTGATAAACATCGGGTTAATGGCAATGGTGACACATTAAATGTGCAGTTAACATGTTAATAAGTAGCATTTGTAGTAAAGGTTAATTTTAACCATTGTTGCTGGAGAGAGAGAGGGGAAAATGTTGATTAAGGTGGTAAGAGTAATAAACATGGGGGGTAAATCGAAATGTTAAGACACATTGAATGCCTAATCAAAAGTACTGACGGGTTGGTAAAATGGTAAAGCGTAGTAGTGCAGAGTGCAGAGGGCACTGTAGAGGTCAGAGAACTTACAGCGGCAGTGCACAGGAGAGTCGCCGTCGTCGGAGTGCAGGTCGAGGACGGAGACCGGGCTGAGCTGCCGCGACGACTCGTCGACGTCCATGTCCATGCCAATGCCGGGCGCCTTCCACCTCCCCGGCGGCCGCTCGTCGTTGCTGTGGCCGCTGAAGTCCATGGCGCGGGGGTCGCACTCGCCGCTGTCGCCGGTGGACCGCCGCAGCCGGCGGAACTCGCGGTCGACGCCGCCGGGGAAGCAGCCAAGGCTGTCCCAGCGGAGCACCCTCCTCACGGCCTTGCCGCACAGCGCCTTGCTCAGCGCCGACCTCAGCCCCCTGACGCCGCCCCCGCCGACACCGCCGCCGCCGCCGACGCCGCCGCAGCCTCGCCTCTTCTTGAACCCGTGGTTGCAGAGCCTGAGCAGCCTCCTGCACGCGGCCACGGGGCAGCACGCTCCACCTCCACCTCCACCGCGGCCGCCGCCGCGCCGCAGCCGCCTGATCTTGGCGGCCTCGATGAGGAACGGCTCCTGCTGCTCCTGCAGCAGCTCCGACAGCCTCCTCGCCGCCGCCATTGCCTCCCCTCCTCCTCTCCTTCGCTCGAACACTCTCTCACACGCACACAAGCACAAGGAGAACGCAGCGCAGGCAGCTGACTAATCAGCAATCAAGAAGACGGGAGTGGCGTCCATGGATGGAAGCAGGAGGGGTGGCGAATGGAGGAGGAGGAAGGGTTGTTGTTGTTGGCATGTGAGGAGGAGGGGATGCAAGAAGAAGCCAAGAAGAGGATCATAGTATTCTTCTCCTCATAACACCATGGGTGGGGAGAGGAGAGGGAGGAGGAGGGCGTCTGCTCTGCGGTCGGGGTCCCCAGGGACGGACGATGGCTGTTACTTGTTGGGTAGCGCAGCCATCCATCCGCCCGGAGCGGAGAGGAGTAGCGAGCGTCCGAGTGTGTCCTGTGTCGCGCTCGCCGCATGCGGTGCGGTGCGAGGCGAAGGAGTAAAACCAACGGAGAAGGCACGATGCGTCGCGGTCGCTGGCGTTTTATTGGCTACTGACGGCGCTGTAAACAGAACAAGTTACTCCTTCCCTTCCGTTCTATAAAAAAACCAACTTAGTATCATCAGATGTTACACATTCGGGGGATCAGGGTTTCTGTACAAATCTTGAAGCAGGTCAGCTGGCATTTGAGAGAAGGGGGATCTCATCTGTCGCCCATATATATTCTCTAGTAGAACAAAAACGGCTTATTAAAAAATAAAAAATAATGTATAGGTAAAATATTTATATGTGTGTTCTTAACAACTTAAAAATCAAAGCTAGAAAAGAAACCATGTTGAGAATTGAAAATTCAAATTTTAGTTTCAGTTTTGGTTTATTAGGGCAACCAATGGGGCTCGGGAGATTTTGGAAGTAACTGGTTGTTAGTCAACTTTTGAAAATATATAAAATCTGGGTTTCTTTAACTTCTAAATTTTGATTTATGTTTTAGATTGTACAACCATAGCTTCTCAATTTGAAAAAAAATTAAACTGTTTAGCAAGATTTTAAGGGGGTGTTTCACCAAAACACCCTCTAATTCTAGGAGAAACCGTAGCTGTGAAACTCTTCAAACATACCTTCAACTTTGGCTGTGTTTAGTTCAGTATAAAGTTTGAATTTTGGTTGAAATTGAAGATGATGTGACTGGAAAGTTGTGTGTGTAATCTGGTTGATGTGATGGAAAAGGACTGAAGTTTGGATTCAAACTTTGTATCTAAACATATAGGCTTTGTTTGATTGGATGGCACCTGAAGACGGATCAGGGGAATCAGCTATAGTGGCAGTGGCAGCGACCATATAAAGCTGCAGCAAAACACACTCTCATGGTTAGGCTTAAGACACAGTACGGAACACTGATAGTAGTACTCCGAATGGATAACATTACATCGGAGTACAGCACACGCTGCAATGGTCTACTCGATGCATCAGATAATTTCAAGCTTTCGCGACAGTTCAGAGCAAGGGTGATTTGGTAGAAGCGCTGGTTCCCCTGTTTACTGAACTACTTGAGTAGATTACAAGGAACAGCATAAAAATGTTATCTTCACGGATACTACAGTATAGTACTCCGTAGTACGCCTAGTAGAGAGTACTGGCAAATACTACTGTAGTATATATGTATCCATGCACGATGCACCTTGCAATATTTTGAGTTCAAAGCTTGACTATAGAGTAGTGGAGGCCCCCCAAAATCTCTCATCACTGCCCCTCTTCAGAGGAACAGCACAAGGGAGCACAGGTGCTATGCTACTGCTACTCCAATTTTCTATGCACAGCCAGCTTCTTGCACAGCACAGGACAAGGTCCTCCATGGCTTCTGCTCCTGCATTTTACATTTTTACTAACCCTGTTAAGGCCTTCGCACCAAACTTCTCCCAAACTCCCAACTTTCATCACATTACATCACATTTAAAACTTTCCTACTTACATAAACTCCCAACTTTTTTTTCCAAACTACCAACTTTTCCCAAACTTCTTCCCAATTTCAGAAACTAAACATAACCCCTTTGAATTGGAGGATAAATAGAGGAAAAGCAAAGGAATTGAAACCCTACACTATTCATGTCTTTGATTTGTAGGAAGAGAAAAGAAAAAACGTAGGAAACTTTCCTATTCCCACGATTCTAGAGGAAAAACGTAGAAAATTTAGCATCCACTCTAACCTCTTGGAAAACTTCCCTTCAATCTATCTCTTTTTATCTGATTCTTGTGTTTTTCCTGCGGTCCAATCAAACGATCATTCCTGTATTTTCTTTGTGTTCTCTGTTTTACACTTGTATTCCTATCAGAATTCTATATTTTTTCTATTCCTCTGTTTTTTCAATCATACGATTCAAAGAGGCTCTAAACCAATAAACCATAGCACACCTAGTGGTTTCTGTGTGTTTTGAGAGACAGATACAGGGGGCCACGACCTAACTGTGCAATTAGTTTTTGTTTTTATTTATATTTAATGTTTCATGCATGTGTCTAAAGATTCGATGAGATGTTTTTGAGAAAAACTTTTTAGAAACTAAACTGGGCCCTAGTGCAAGTACCAGTACTGTATAGCTCATGGTCGTGATTCGTGAAGCCTGTGACTGTGAGTGTGAGAGTTGTGCCAGCCTCCAACCAAAACCAAGACGACAGTCCTCTCCTTGCCTCTCGTTGGGGAGGACGGGGCCTTTCCATTTCTTGTTGTGTAAATTTATTGCTAGCTGAAAGTTCCAATGAGAGCCATGGACACACAGCTCAATGGGAGCAGGATAGAACTCAGAGGAGCGGTGTTGTGTGTTTGTGCGTGCGTGTGTGTGTGTGTGTGTTTTGGTCCCTTTGAACGGTGTATCCCTGATTCCCTGACATTCCATTTCTATGAAAAAACACACACTGATTTCTGAAGCGAATGATGCTGGCACCTGTGGTAACCAGCAAGCCTTTCTTTGACCATACAGGCACAGCATGGGGGGAGTAGTACTAGTACAGTAACAAACTAACAGCAGTAGTAATAGTAACTGAAGTAGTAGAGCTAAACTAATGGCCCATGCTTAGCACAAGGTAGAACAGTAGCATAGAACATGTCAGCAGCAGTGTTGTGGTTGTGCAAAAGCTGCGTCGGCGTGCGTACGCCGGCCCGGGCGAAAGGCGCAAAGGCGCTCATAGTTTTGGGGCGGTGATCTGATGGCTCACGGCGTACAGCAACGGGCACTGAGGTGGTGTTTGGACACAAGGATTAAATTTTAGTCTGTCTCACATCGGATATTTAACACTAATTTAAAGTATTAAATATAGATTATTGATAAAACTAATTGCATAGATGAGAGCTAATTCGCGAGACGAATTTTTTAAACCCAATTAATTCATAATTAGCAAATGTTTACTGTAGCATCACATAGGCTAATCATGGATTAATTAGGCTCAATAGATTCGTCTCACGAATTAGTCCAAAGTTATAGAATGAGTTTTATAATTAGTCTATGTTTAATACTCCAAATTACTCCATCCACAAAATTTACACATATTACTTTTATCATTACGACCAAGGAGAAATTAAATCATCTTGGATATTACAAACTCAAGAAGTGAATGCAAGCATGCAATCAATAAGTATTTAGATGACTCCTTACGTTCTAATCAAATATTTAATTTATCTCTCTATTTAAGTTTTGAATGCATAAGAACTATAAATCAACTTATTTAGAAAAACTCAAATGTAAAATATGTTTAACTTTTATGGATGAAGAGAGTAGCATCTAAACATCCGATATGATAGATAGTTATGATAGGTACTTTAAAAAGTCCAAACCACGGTCCCCCCCCCCTGGGGGAATTTGGCCGGCCTCGTTCCTGCTGTCCTCGCCGCCTTCCGCCCGTACTCCTACACCACACCTATCCTTTCTACTCCTACCACCTGTCAATCTCTCCACTGAAACCAAGAAACCAACCTCCGCCTGCTTGTGACTGTCTGCAACTCTGCATCCACATCAGCTTAACTGCTTACGCTTCCTAAAAAAAAAAAACTCGTACAGTTTAAATTTCATCTTAAAATAGACCGATTTCTATCCTTTTACACATTTTTCAGATTCAAATCCATAACTGTTTTTTAAATGGAGAGAGTACATACCTTTATAAATCGAGAAAATATATCCCTTCCATATACCCAGGGTCAGAGGTAGACCTAGGATAGCTTCATGCCTCTAAAATCTCGACTATATTTTATTAAATCACCATATAAATCTTATAGAAAACTAACTGTCAGGGACATGTCATGAATGTCTTCAACCAACTGTTGGAGGCATGTTGTGAGTACCTTTGATCAGACTACCGAAACACCTGTCAAGTCACGAAGCCAGACGTTGAAGGGCGAAGCCCGCATAAGTAATGAAGGCAAGCGACTAGTGGCTTAGCGCCCATGGAATAACAGAGCAAAAGACCTTCGCCAAGCATGGGACAAAGGAACACCATACGACGAAGGAGGATGAGCTCTTCGTAGAGGCTTTCGCCCTGCGAACCTAATAAACGGCCTAGTGAGGGGCCTTTAGGGCCCATGGGCCTGTAAACTGGGACAAAAGACAATTATTACCCCTATAAACGTCCCTATCATAAGAGAAGCCAAGTCAATTCCCGAGTAACCAACAACCTTAGGATTATAAACCTGGACTATAAAACTATAAATAGACCCCAATGGATGTGTAATAGGGGATCCAATTATTAAGAAATCAATACATTTACCATTCATATTTTCCAAATATTTGAGTGAATATTGTCTTTCGGCAGACGCTATATATTGTCTAATCGACAACAGCTGGCACCGTCCGTGGGGAATGAACCCACGATCACATGGTACCGCTCTATCCAGCTCTAGTCTTCCATAAATCTTGGCACCACCACTGTCCATATCCCTCATCCACCAATTCTAAATTTCTACTAATAAGGAACGTTTCGATCTTTTCTACTCTTGTTGTTGTCTTGGGATGCTAGCTAGGAGTTTTTTTCCGGGACAACCGGAGTAGCAATCTAGTATTATATTTTACGCAATCTAATACTATGAATCCAAATATATTATTATACATTTGGATATGGATTAATCTATTTTTAGTATTTTTTTCTTCGCTAGAACAAAATGGAAAGAAAAATCTTCGGGAGAAAAGGAGGTGAAATGGATACCAAATGGGCTTGTTTTAATTGGGCCAAACCCATCGAGACAGCGGGTGACTAGGTGGGCCATGCATGTTAGCATCGCAAACCAATAAGGTCTAGGGAGAAAATATGTAGTGGAAATTATTGTAAGATGAAAAAAAATGAATGATAAGAATTGGCTCACGTTAATATGGGTAAAAATTTTACCACAGTAGAACTTATAGTAATGTAGATAAATCACATACGTCTATTATATCTTACGATAATTTTTACTACATACGTGATTTTCACTATGCCCCCCTGTTTAGTTATTCTAAAATAGTAAAAGTTTTGCTGTTTTAGAGCA